CAGAAACATGTCCAGAGTCTCAAAGTCATGACATTGGTTATTTCAGAGGAACATTTAGATATGAAGGATTAATCCAGAGCTTTGGCTTCATTTCTCCTTCCAAATCTTCCCCTCATCTTTTACTGTTCCCTAGAAACCTATCCTTCCCACATAGTCTTTGCCTAAAATGCAGCTGCTGCCCCAGGAGGCTGGCATCCAAAGAGGAAGGACTCTGCAGAGAAAGTCCTTGTCCATCCCCAGCCCTCACCTCAGTGCAACCCTCTCCTCCCCCTCAAAGCTCTCTGTACCCTGGAGCCTTTGCAGATGGAGATCTAAATCTCCATTATTCTTGAAGCCATCCTTGAATAAACCTAGTCCTTCCAAGAACTTCTGGCTTTTAGTGAAGCAGAGAACATCACAGACCTTAGTAACACCCCTGGGTAAATAAATCTACTGGCCACAGCACTAATGCTAATAGCATGGATGACAGTGACATCTCCACTTGAGGAGTGTGGAATTCAGAGGGTGAGTGCACAGATATCTCGAGTCTTCTTAGCATGCTACTCCAACTCCATGAGCCAAAGGATGAGAAATTGAGGTCCTAGTATTCCAAATGGCATAATACCCATCATGTAGCTTCCATCCCATGGGTGGGAAATGGGAGCCAAAGAAATGCCATTTCATTCACACATTGAAATAGGCCTAATCAGAGGGAACTAGAGAAAGGATAAGACAGACTTGTATCTGCCTCTCCTGAGACGACAGCTCACAGCTTTGCACCAGACAGCACAGGCTTCTTCTGTTCTTGACTATTCGATCTGCTGTGTCAGTTCTGCCTCATGCCCCGAGGGGATGTGTGTCTAAGGAACACACTAGGTAAGACATGTGTCTTGACTCAAGTATCACAGTCTCTTGCAGGTTTTATCAAGTTTTAATGTGGTTTGGAGATTTCCATGGGGCTCCTTTGGCCAACAGCTCAATTAAATGTAACCCAATCTCATACTGGAAGCTTCATTTGGTGATAAGAGAGGGCCAGTTGGGACTCTGTCTACCCCATTATTTGGTTTCACTTAGATGAAACTTCTGCTATGCTAAGTTTCCATACTACCCCTCAAATGCTCCCTAATTTCAGTGCTCTTTCCCCATATTCCTTCATATCCCCTTTCCCCTGCTTGCCATTTGATCCTCCCATTCCAGCTTCCCCGCTCACCCATAACTACTTATTTCCCTTTCCTAATGAGAGCTATCTGGCCCTCCAAGTTCCTTACTCTGTACCTAGCCTCTGTGGTTCTATGGATTATAGCTGGGTTATCATTGACTTAACAACTAATATCAACATATAAGCGAATACATACTATATTTGCCTTTCTGGGTCTGGGATACCTCACTCAGGATCATTTTTTTCCCCTAGTTCCATCCATTTACCTGGGAATTTCATGATTTCATTTTTTAATACCTAATAATACTCTGTTAGGTAAAGGTACTACATTTTCTTTACCCATTCTTCTGTTGAAAAATATATAAGCTATTTCCAATTTCTGACTATTATGAATAGAGCAGCAGTGAACATGGTTGAGCAAGTGTCTCTGTGGTAGGATGGAGTGTCCTTTGGATATATGCCCAAGAGTGGTATAGCTGACTCTTGGGTTAAATAGGTTCCCATCTTCCTGAGGAAGCACAAGACTGATTTCCATAGCGGTTGCACAAGTTTGCACTCCCACCAGCAATGGATAAACACTCCCCTTACTCCACATCCTCACCAGCATGAGCTGTCATTTGTGTAATTGATCTTAGCCATTCTGACTGGTGTAAAATGGACCCTCGAAGCAGTTTTGATTTGCATTTCCCTGATGATTAAGTGTGTTAAACATCTTTTTAAGTGTTTCGCAACCATTTAAGTTTCCTCTTCTGAGAATTCTGTTTATATCTGTACCCCATTTTTAATTGGGTTATTTGTTTTCTTGATGTTCACTTTTTTTCAGCTCTTATATATTAGCCCTCTATCAGATGTGGAGATGATAAGAATCTTTTGCTATTCTATAGAATGCCACTTTGTCCAAATGATGGTGTCCTTTGTCATGCAGAAGCTTTTTACTTTCATGAGGTCTCATTTATTAATTGTTGATCTTAGTGCTAACGGTGTTCTGTTGTGAAGTATTTTCCTGTGCCAATGAGTTCAAAAGTATTCTTCACTTTCTCTTCTATCAGATTCAGTGTTATCTGGTTTTAGGTTGAGGTCTTTGACCCACTTGGAGATGAGTTTTGTGCAGGGTGGTAAGCAGAGATTTGCATTCTACATGCAGCTGTCCAGTTTCATCAACACCATTTGTTGAAGATGCTGTCTTTTCTCCAGGGTATATTTCTGGCTTCTTTATAAAACATCAGGTGTCAGTAGGTGTGTGGATTTTTGTCTAGGTCTTCAATTTGACTCCACTGATCAACGTGTCTCTTTTTGTACCAATACCATGCTGTGTTTTGTTTTTAACTATAACTATGTAGTACAACTTGAAATCAGGACAGTGATCCCTCCTGCAGTTCTTCTAGTATTCAGGATTGTTTTAGCTATCCTAGCTTTTTTGTTTTTCCACATGAAGCTGAAAACTGTCCTTTCAAAACCTGTAATGAATTGTGTTAGAATTTTGACGGGGGTGTATTAAATCTGTAGATTGTTTTTGGTAGAATGGCCATTTTTACTATCTTAATCCTACCAATCCATGAGCATAGGAGATCTTTCCATCTTCTGATATCTTCATTTTTTTTCTCCAAATACTTGAAGATTTTATCATACAAGTCTTTCACTTTCTTGGCTATAGTTACCCCAAGATACTTTATATTATTTGAGGCTATTGTGAAAAGTGCTATTTCCATGATTTTTTTCCTCAGACCATTTGTCATTTGTATAAAGGAGGACTACTGATTTTTGTGAGTGGAATTTTTTGGGTCATTTAGGTACACTATCATATCATATATCTGCAAATAAAGGTATTTTGACTTCTACCTTTCAAATTTGTATCCCTTTGATGTCCTTTAGTTGTTGTACTGCACTAGCTAAGACTTCGAGTACTATACTGAATAGATATGGAGAGCGGACAACCTTGTCTTGTTTCTGATTTTAGTGAAATTGTTTTGAGTTTCTCTCCATTTAAGTTGATGTTGGCTATGGGCTTGCTGCAAACTGCCTTTATTATGTTGAGTTATGTTCCTTGTATTCCTAATCTCTCCAGTACTTTTATTATGAAGGGGTATTGGGATTTTGTCAAAGGCTTTACTGAATTTAATGAGATGATCATGTGGTTTTTGTCTTTCACCATTTCTTTCTTTTTTTTTTGTTCTTGTAAAAAGGTATCTGTTTGGATTTTTAATATAAAATGACTCAAACACAGAAAGAAAAATATCATACAAGCCAGTTACTCAATTTAAAATAAAACAGAAAACAAATGCAACTAACAAATTTCAAGTGACATGGCCTGTCTCCAGCATAGGTTAAAAAACAGGAGACCTCAAACCCAGTGTTTGTCCCTCTGAAGACATCTTATTTTTGTAAAAAGAAACCAATCCCTGAAATCTGGCAGGTGGTACCGGAGGCCACAGCTGTCCTGTAAATGGGGTACAAGTGGTTGCTGGAGTATGGCCATCACCTCCAGCTGCTTGCTAGTGACGGTCATCTGAAGGCAGGTCAGCCTGGACACCATATGACTCTGGCTAATCATGCAGTCTGAGCCTCAGGTCCCACAGCCTGGGAGCCTTCCAGTCCACATCTTCACTGAATCTCAGCCATGTACAGCCTCTTGTCACTGGATGCTGAGAGGATGATGGGCTCGTCAGGGTGGAGAGCCACTTCACTGATGGAGCCAGCATGGCAGGCAGCTTATGCAGGTTCCTTCTGCTGTGGTGTCCCACACGCACACAAACCTGTCTGCTGAACCAGCGACTACCTTGTTTCCATCAGGTGACCAAGAACACCGCAGGAGGTTCTTCTCAAAGTTGTGCACATTTCCTTGAAATGTCTTCAGGCGTCTCTCTTTGGGGGCAAGGGCCGGACATCCCAGACACGCAGTACAAAGCAGATCCGCATCAGTCAAGCAGCAGACAGAACGGCGGCCAGCAGCTCCACGTCAGTGACAAATGCCGACTCCTGGGTGAGGGGTCCAAACAGCACAGCACCAACCGCTAAGGCTCCTTTTCTCTTCTTTCTTTCTTTTTTAAGACAGTGTTTCTCTGTGTAGCTTTGGAGCCTTTCCTGGATCTCACTCTTCACCATGATTTCTTAAAGAAACATCATTGAGTATCTTCTTGTGTACTCTATTCTTTGAGAAAGAGTCTCACGTAGCCTAAATTGGCCTCAAACTCTCCATGTATCACAAGATGACCTTAAAATCCTGATCTTCCTGCCTTCCACCCCCAAAGTGCTGGAATTACAGCCATGCACCAACATGCCAGGCCTCTCCAGCCCTTTTTCTCTGCTCTCTTCCCTAGACATGGAAGAATGAGGTTCTGGGTATTACACCTGAAGAAGCTGGTGTGGTGGCACACACATGACCCCAGCACTTGAGAGAAGCAGGAGGACCGGACATTCACAGCCATCCTTATCTACGTAGCCAGCCAAGGGAAGCAGGAGCTACCAGAGACCCTATCTCAAAAATAAACAAACAAGAAAGAAGGAACGAACGTTTCCCCTCACAGCACAGAATGTACTCAAAACATTTCGATAGCTGTGTGTATGCTGAAGGGCTGCTAAACAAATGGAATTGATATCCGAAGAACCAAGCCTGTTGTGTTCTGCTCTGACGGATGTCTTTCCTCTTCTTCCTCTCCCTCCCTCTCATTTCCCCCATCTCTCCCTTTCTCTCACCTTCTTCCTGCTTTCTTTTCTTCTCTCCTTCAACATGAATAGCTACTGAGTAAATTTTCATGGAGTGAAGACTGATGGATTGCTACTGTGCAGATCACTGTGGCTCAATTTCTCCTGCTTGCTTTTAATGTTCTTTGATTGTGAGGGGAACTGAGGAATCCTAACTTACCTCCAGCTCATGACACATGAGCAGCTGACTTTGCAGTGGTGTTTCTAACTCAGAACTCTGTCCTCTGTATACACAGGTCTGAAATTCAGGGCAAAGGAGCTATTACTGTCTGTCCGTTTGGTTTGGGCTTTCATTAAGGACTGCTTCATAACAGATGTCTGGAGAGGGAAAGAACCAACAATGGTGACTCAGACATCAGTGATACAAAGAGAGAAAAGAGACAAAGCATATTCTAAGTACATTCTAGGCAGATGAGTGACTAGCTGTGGAGGGGCTTCCTCTAATCAAGACCCACAGATTTGCTTTCAATAGGTCAGGAGGATGCCAGAGTAGCTGAGATACACGAGCTGAATGTCTCTATTTGCATAATAGATATATAAATAACAAGCAGTGCAGGAAGAGATAGGGGGAATGAAAACATGGCATTAATCCAGTTAAAACTAGCTGGAATGTGGCCCACCTCTAGTAATGTTCAGACAATGAACTATCTTCCCAAACAAGTCCAGTGCACACAGACTGCCTGAGCAGCACAGCCCAGGCATCCTCAAGAGCTATTGTCCTCCAGTGTACTTCGCTCCCCATTCTCTGACAACCACAACAGGTGCTGGGCGACTTTTCCTGGGGAGCCTATTTCTATTTACGCCCAAGGTGAGGGCAATGATAGGGCAAAGAAACAATCCCGTCCAGTCCAGCTGCCGAACCAATCAGTTCATGGGTTTGTACAAGAGCACACATGAGTCAAGGCAGCCGTGGCACAAAAGGACCACACATCAGAGTGACAAGTCACGGAAGGGCCTCCCTGGGGTTCCCTGCAGTCTCCCCTCCCGTTACATAACTTGGGGGTGGGGCGGGTGAGGCTTCTGGGTTCCTTGTGGCTCTATGAGCCTGGCACATGCTGCACCCCTTCCTCGGGAGGGTTTGTTTCAATTGGGAGGGGAACGGCAACACAGGAAGGAACAGGTCAGACGGGCTCAGCTGACCTCTGCTCTGATCTGTTAGGGACAAACATCAGGGTTCGCTAAGGGACTTCACACTTAGTGAAAGGTACTGTGGGATATTTGTACAGTGTGAAGGTGTAGTGCTGTGACTGGTATAACAAAAAGCTCAATAGTCAATAGCTAGGCAGGAGGTATAGACAGGAATTCTGGGGAGAGAAAAAAAGAGGAGGAGAAATCTAGGCATGTGGGAGACATGAGAAAACACAGAAGAAGCATGATAGGTGGTACGTGACAAAACACAGATTAGTAGAAATAGGTTAATTTAAGTTATAAGAGCTAGTCAAAAACAAGCCTAAGCTAAGGCCAAGCTTTCATAATAAGTCTCCGTGTCATTATTTGGGAGACACATTATAGAGAGGAGATGAATAACTAGGCAAGTGTTCTATAATGTAAGATACACATTTGTACTGAAGGCTGTGGGAGTCCAGAGAAGATGAGACAAGGAATAAAGCAGATACTTTCTTAGTTCAAGTCATATAATTGAAGACAGCCATATTATCTGTGCACGTCCCTGACAGTGGGGCAGCCTGGGGGCGCGGCTTTGATCTACACCTGCCACCCCACCTCCACCCTCCATTGTATAGAACTGCCTACATTCTGACTAACCTATAGGAAGACAGTCCAAGAAACAGCCCCAGAATCTCATGTAGGATTCGCCATGGGGCTTCAGGCATACACCCAACCCAGACCTTTGGGCTAGCCCCAGTGTGACCCCCTGAAGCTCTGGAAACCAGGTTTCAGGCTTAGTTCTGTCATTCTTTTCATTTATTTTCTTTTGTGTTTTTGTGTTTTGCTTTATTTTGTTTTGTTTGGCTTTGAGACAAGTTCTTGCTATTATACAGCCCAGGCTGGCTTCAAAGTGAGAGTTGGCATTACAGTTAGGCACCGTCATATGAGTTTTGTCTGTCCAGTAAGTGGGTACATGGGAGTTGTCTTTTACAGAATACAAATGGGGTTGTAACTATTACATTACACGGTCTATTCATCATGCTTAGCAAATATTCACTGGGCCATCCCTTGTATAGCACTAGAGGTAGACACAGCAGCACTCAGGCAAGATCTCACTTGGAAGGATTATGTGCGGAGGTGGCTATGTGCAAACAAGAGACAGATACAGCATCAGGGCTGGTACTTCGGCTCTACCTCTGGCAGGCTACCACACCTGGAAGAACGCTGGGCCCAGTAAAGGCCATTACTATGGAGTTTGAAAGACTGCCCCACACAAGGCACTCAGGCTATTTCTAAATACAGCTCAAAGCCAACCAGACCAAATATGAACCAACTTACAACCAAATTGGTTCAAACTTCATGTAAAAGGCTCTGAATTGTAATTAAATTACGATACAACCACTCTAGAATGAGCATATAATTTGTTATCTCCTAGTACACTTGAAAGTATAACATGGGCTATTTATAATAAGTGCAAAATAATAAGTCATAACTGTCCTGGATACACAGGAACCTACTAAGGGAAGGGCTTGAGAGTTTAGCTAAATGAGGCTTGAAGATGTTACGAAGTTTAATCGAGTAAATGCCTGTTAGTGATCACTCCAGTGATCTGATTTATATTTTTCAAAATGTATATAAACTGCTACAGTCATAATGAAAAGCAGCACAGAAGTATCTCTAGAAAACTGGACTATAAATTTCAGTAAAGGAAATGAGGTGTCTGACCTCATGTGCTTTGCAGTGTTATTCACAACAGCCAAGATATAAGAACAAGTATTCTGTGATGACTGGATGAATAAAGAAAATGAAATAGGATTCAGTCATGGAAAAGAAGCGATTCACCATTTAGGACAAGATGAATGAAACATGAGGATATTGTGCCAAGTGAAGTAAGACAGAAGACAGGTACTGTGTGAGCTCAGCTGAGTACAGCATCTGTAAGAGTTACTCCCTTTAGATGGAGTGATCACTAACAAGCCTTCTTAGGTGGAAGTTTGTGGGTCTGATATGAACATGATCAATAGAGTCAAAGACACTGTACTGTTCACTTGGAATTTGCTATGAGTCCACATCTTAAATGTCTTGTACAAAACACAAGCACCTTGCCAGGTAAGGATTTTGATCAGTAATGAGTGTACTTACCTTCAGTAAAATGTATGCTCAGTCATGAAATGAAAAGATCATTCTGGCTTTTGTGTGGAGATGGGATTGTAGGGGCCACAGGAAAAGGCAAGAAACATTCAAAAGGTCTTCTTAAAGTAAGATATAAGAAATGTTTGAACTCAAGAGGAGCAAAGAAGATCGAGAAGGATCCAGTCAAGAGACAAGGAGTGGGTGGAACCAGCAGGACTGACCAATAGCTGACAGTATTGGGAAAGGAAGAGGAAAATCCACCCACATGGGCTACTGTGCAGATGAAGCTGCTGTTCACAGTGTCAGCAGAAAGACAGTGTCATTAAACAATAATGAATAAAAACAGTATCTTTTGATTGCTTCTGGTATATCCAGCACTACTCTTCGTACCTGTATACATTAATCTAATGTTCCTAACAGCCCTATGCAGTAGGAATTACCATTTTCAGCATTTATATAAGCAAGCAGGCTACAGGGCAAAGAGATTAAGTTGCCAAGGTTCAGTAATCAGTTGTTTAAAAAAAAAAAGCCCAGCTAGCTCAGTCAGTAGAGCATGAGACTCTTAATCTCAGGGTCATGGGTTCGTGCCCCACGTTGGGCACCAGATATTGGTGAAATTATTAAGGCCACTCCACGTAGTTAAAAGGGAGGTTTATTTAATGGTGTGACTTACAAATGAAGAGATAGGTAGATTACAGGGTCTGGGGAATACATAGCACAGTCCCTTGGTGTTCTCTGGGGAACTCTGCTTGGTCTACCTCCAGGTCCAGGGTCCAGGCACCAAGAGAGAGGGCGCATCCAGATCCCGGGTCTCCAGAGTCCTCTCTTGGCCCTGCCTTGTAGGCATGACAGTTACCAAAACCTCAATGGGGGTTGGAACTACCAGATCAAGGTTGGAATGGCTACCCACTACACCGGGGTCAGGTTTTATTAATTCAAGTATAGTGGCTCCAGAGTTGCATCTTCATGCCAAGCCACACTGCTTGTGAATTTGAGTCTGTGGCCCTAGTCCATAGCCTGGTTCTATTTCCTTCCACACATAAGTGAATGGTGTTGGGAACAGGGTACTCAAGTGGGAGAGTATGAATAGGCTCAACCTGGAACATGCACTGAAATTAGAACACATGCCAAGATGCTGAGGAAGGATCAGACATCAAAGGGTTACACATTCATCCTAAATGAGCATTAGTTTCTGTATGCCATACTTTATGAATGAGGAAGATGAGCCTGCCTTTGTTTGAAGTCATGGGAAATATCTGGGAGGAGTCTCTTGTCATGGTGGAAAGTCTTGCTCTGGTATCATACTCCTGGCTTCAAATTCTTTCTTACCACTTGTTGCCAGGATGACTTCTGAGTTATTCAGCCTCTTTATCACTGTCTTCCCATCAGTGAAGGGGACATAGTGACACTGTACCAAAGGCTGGTAAGCTTTTCGCCAAACTCAATTTCCTTCTAGCCACAAAGTTCAACTGTACCCTCCAGTTTCTACCAGTTTATCATGGCCAGATGGCTCTGGCCATTGGGATAAGAGCAGAGGCCATGGGCACTGCCTTCAGATCTGGCCCACAGGCATCATGCAGATGGCACTCCTCACTCTTCTTCCTCTCCTATAAATCAGTTCAGAGGCTCCAGGGGAGGACTCAAAGGCCCTGGAGTCAGCAGAACCACAGATGTAAGCAGCCTGGCTGATTTGTGTGCACAGGTAGATGGCCTCCATCTGTGTGAGCCAGTGGCAAGTGTCTGTCACTAAATTCAGAGCTGGGGGCTTGCTTAGCAGGGAGATTTCACCAGTAACCCCGCTGGTGTAAGTCTCTACCTTCAGAGGTTTGTCTTCATTGTCCCTGTGACTGGACTGGACTTCCCACGGACTAGCTGTGTCCCTGACGTTTCTCAGAGGTTAAACTGAAGGCGGAAATCTACTCTGGGTGTGGGTGGTGCAATCCCATGGACTAAGGGAAAAGAGAGGGAAAGTTCTGCTTCCCTGGGTTTTCTGGTGTGCTAGAATGTCAGGAGTCCAGTCATGTGCTCCCACTGCCATGAACTCTGCTGTTCCTTCCCCACCATGATGAATTGCAGCC